GTAGTACTGTTTCCAAAAAAGAAAAATGTGAAACATGTTGCACTGATGAAAGCCTTCCTGTAGCTTCAAAGAAGGCGTGTGAATGAAATGAATTAAGTTTCTTCCACAGTCGGTGTAGGAGATGAATGAGAGTTCGACTATGCTCGCGTGTGTGTTTCCTTACCCAGTGCAAATAACCTGAATTATATAGACACAGTCCTTCGGCCGAGGTGGCAGGTGAAGTCGGTGTAAAGCAAACAGCGAAGGTGGAGGGGGAGGGAGACCCCATCAGGAGGCAGTCTCAGCCCTCCACCCCACCCTCCCTAAATGAAGCCTGAATCCTTCAGTCCCTGATCTGTCCGCTGTAGAGGACGTACATGACAGACAGGTGCGTTGTGGGTAAAGTGCTGGGGTGACGGGTCCCTCTGATTTTTTTTTCTTCTTCTTTAAATTAACATTTAAACATTTTTGCTGCTCTGTTCCTTCAACCAGTTCTCCAAAAGCATTACATGAACACTTCTTTCCTTCACAAATATCCAAACTTGCTCACATTTCCACTTTCAATTTTTCCAACTTCTCTCTTCCACAGTCAACTTGTCTCCTGCTTTTTTCCTTCCTTTCCTTCGTATTTATTCCTCAACTTCCGTGGACTCCATTCATTCTGCGCTTACTGAGCTCAGGAACCTCGATCAGTCAGATCACCTTCCTGTTATATCAGGGCAACAGAAACAAAGAAATGGTGACGGGCTTGATGTTCTGCGCCACAGGCTGGTGCACGCGGGGCTGATGGGTGAGTGGAACCGGGTCTAAGGGGAAGCCCCAAAATGGATAGCTACGTCAGACTGCCAATCAAGATTAAGCGACTGCAAATGGATTTACCATGCAGCCGCATCAGAATCCAGTCGACAGGATTTTGGGCTCCGCAGGTCTGCTCTCTTTGCCTGGTGTGATTGAAGGATGAAAGCATTCATTAGTAGCACAAGAGGAGAAGTTGCTATCATCGGCCAACAATATGTAAAAGTTCAAGCTGCAAATTCAGTGCGTGCTCACCATCTCCTGAGCTACGATCCAGAGACGGCGTCCTGGAGACGGTTGCCGAGTGACACTGCTGGTCCTCAGACTCCTGACTGATGGAGGACTCTCTGAGAGTTTTCAGAAGCTTATAGTGGGCCTTCTCTATCTCCTGCAAAGGAGTTAACAGTTTTAGGAAACACACTTATTTCTGGTAGAGAATCAGGTGATACTTTATGATGAAATACTGTGTGTGATGTGTGCCACATTTAATTTTGTATAAAGAAAATTGAATGAATAAATCACTAAGCTTGTTTTTATCTACACAGGAGTCATCATATCAATGTGGCTTTAAAGTAAGTTCACAACTGCTCATAAACAAGTAAGAGAACACTTAAATCACTTAAGCTGAAACTCTTTACTGACATATTGTATAATTGGTTGACAGCAGTGTTTCTCAGTTGGATTCAGTTCTGGGGAACACGAGTACCAGACAATGACAGCAACTCCCTGCACACTGTGCCAACATAAGGCAGGCACTGTCCTGCACCACGAGCCTCACTGTACCCGCATAATGTCTGATGATGCGTCTAAGAGGTCAGTGTGGTGACCACCAGCTGTGAAGGAACGCTGGCTAGCAAGGGAAAGTCTGTG